ATACTGCCATTGAACACAATATATCTGGAAGAGTTCTTCAAAGTTAGACTAGAAACTACGGCATTAGAGAGTGCCTCTCTAAACACGGCAGCAGAAGTAAGCGCTCATAACTCCAGTCGCTGTGCAAACCAAATTGATTTTGAATTCAACTACGAAGAAAATCTGTTTTGCATTATCATGTTACTCTTTTTCTCAAGGAATCGTTTTCACTTTGGCGACTCGAATGAGCGCATGTTTTCTGCTCAGTAAATAACATTCTGTACTCATATTCTTTTTAGCGCATTTTCTCACTTATGGAAAAAATGCACTATTGTGCTCGCCATGTCCATCTGTCTGTCTGTCTGTCTGTCTGTCTGTCCGTCCGTCCGTCCGTGTCCTCAAGTTTTCGTCGACGAGAAAATGCGCTCTCTGACACTCACTGCAGTGAGCACTGAGTTATATTTTTTTTACAACTCCTCGGGAAAAATTTTATAAGTTAGGTAAAAAAATTGCTTAATTGAAACGAAAATATTCGTCATCTACCAGATCGTGGTTGTATATTGTGAAAGTTTACTGTGCCACATTGACACCGCCTCGAGGTCCTCGATTCGCGACCAACAAATTGTCAGCAATTCTCTTTCAAATAAAAATTAATAATTCAAATTTAAACAATAAAACAAATTCGTAATTAATTTGATTCTTTATAAATTAAATTCATTACAAAAGTATATTGGTCTTCAACAAATTTTCTAGCAGTCCAATAAAAAAATTAGAATCCAACAGCCCAGTGATACAATTTTTAGCTGTGAGATTGATGATGAATTATTGTCAAATATTGGCAGTCGAAACAGCCACGATCTATTTTCAATGCCAATCTTCAAACGAACCCGAATAATAATTCGAACCCGAATAATTCATTCGAACCCGAATAATTCATTCGAACCTGAATAATTCAAACGAACCCGAATACAATTTTTCAACGTTTAGCTATATCATAAATGAATTTGAATATTAAATTCTTTCGTTAATTCGCTGTAGCTGATGATATTGTAACAGAAGGCGACGCATCGATCATCGTTTATTCAACTGTTCCTCAACAGAAATACGTGGTTCAGCGCATCTTATTAAATATAGTCCCATAAAAACGATTGCGCAGTGCTATTCCTACCGGTATCTGGACATGGTGATTCTCAACATTATCAGTAGAATAGCCCTAAGGAGCATTATCTTTTGTGCACATTACAGACAGACGCCCTTAGCAGGCTGGAAAATTTGCATGTATGTTATACGTTTCAATATTTGCATCACGATTCCCATGTGTGCATCCAAGATCGACTGTGAATTTTTCGCAAATTTAGTTATAGGTTTTCATCAAACTACACAAATGAATCTCTATAAAACCTAAATTGATGTTACGCGTATCAATAATGCATATCAAATTCGAGCAATGGAGGTAAATAGAAATATTATTATTTAGAGGTTACCTTTTCTCTGAAGTTTACCCAGTACTTTTTCTATGGATAACTTATTTAAAATTATTATTTGTGTTTGAAGATGGTAATTCTATGCGGGATTCGACAACTCAAATTGAAATTTTTAATCTCTACCAATCATATTTAATTAGATTATTCTCGTCAACCATATAATATAGTAATATTGCGGAAAAAGCGCAACACGTTACCTAAATAATCGCTGAAATTCGCCGAATGCTCAATTCAGACGAAAGGAAGACAAACAGGAACAGAACGCACCTGCATTATTTAATGAACGGACTTTAAATGAAGACAAATAACATGAAGAATAATATACGATGCATGCGGGTTTTAACAATTTAAATGTAATTTTTCTATTCCCGTATGACATTTTCTCCTTCGAACAATTTCTTTTATTATAAATGATCATTGAAAATATTGAAATATATGAGTTTTGGATATTGGGAGGTTATCTCTCAAAATTACAAAAAGTAAAATCGAAACAAAATTATACCATGATATCTTAATTTTTTTCATTTTTACGATTAAAAATGCTCGTTTTAAAACATTAACCGGTAGTTCATGAAGTTAAAGTAGAATTATTTGCTAAATACGTTCAAATATTATTAGTTCGGGAAAAGTGCCTTACAATAAGGAGAACAAAATTCCATGCAAAAGCAATGAATTGATGATGTTCCGAATGTTCCGAATCGGGCGGCAATACCCAAGAAAGTGACGCGCCTCATCTTAACCAAGTAGAATGTTTCAAATCGGCCATCTCAGGTTCACTGAACCTCGGGGCGGTGTCAGTATGACTGAAGAGTAAATTTTCACAATCTACAACCATGCCCAGTGATGGGGAACGAAAACTTTCGCTTCAAACATCTTGAAACGTTTTTAGTGATAATTTTTTTACCAACATCTCAGTTAGACATCGTTATTTGTGGTTAATAGAATCCTTATATGGTTTAAATAAAAATAAGAATTCGGTTTTCGTATCCTGCAAAACGATATTTGGAGGTTGACATTGACTGTATATGTATTGATCTCCACATCATGGATACGCACCGCCTTTAAGTATCATGGAAATGCGCCATGTTTTTCTGTTCTTCAATGAATAACACAAACAACATGTTTTCCTTCATTCTTCCTGCTTGCCAACCGTTTAGAGTAGTCAGATGCACATGATAAAAGAGAAATTAATCTCACTGCAGAAATAACTACGCCGCTTCCACCCGTATTACATCTAGTGCATCTGAGCCCGGGGATTGATATAATAATAATAGCGGTTTCAGCCTTTAGTAGGCAGTAAGCCTGTCGCCGATTCTTAACATCGCAGAGCATTCACATCATTTTGCGGTCTCGAACTCGCAGCTCACTGCTACAATTCAGCTGTGCTTAACCGCCCGGCCTCCTCACCGATTCTGACCAGAATGTGGAGCACATTGCTGGGATCGAACCCGCGCTTCTCTGCGCCAATCCTGGTACTCTGAACTTTAACCACTGGGCCACCCTGCCCTGATATGCGAATGCTTGCATTGGGATACACATAAACACAGGGGTTAGACAAAATAAGAGAAACGCCTGATAAACCCACAAAATATATTTTAGTATGGTGTAGGTTCACCTTTAGTGGCAATTACAACCCTAATTCTCCGAAGTATTGATTCATACAAATTGTGAATTTTTTCAAATGAATTTTAACCCATTCTTCAGTGAAGACTCCTTCCAGGTCTTTTAACGACAGCGGCGGCGGGAATCGACTTCTGACTTGCCTCTCTAAAATTGGCCATAAACGCTCTATAAAATTCAGGTCTGGTGATTATGATGGTCAAATGAAATGCACAACTTCATCAAAATTTTCCTCGTGCCATTTTTTAATAATTCCAGCTGTATGGATTGGGGCATTATCATCTCGAAGGATGGCGCTGCCTTCTTGAAACAGTGCTTGAACCATTGCATGNACTAATAAATATTGTTTGGCTGGTACGGATGTTTTTGCTTTCCTAAGAGTAAGATGTGACAATGGTTAACTAATCATCAAGCATCGACCTTGCTATTAGTAATTAAAGGCTTTTAAAGTAAAGTTAACGTCAGTAGATGGAATTTCGAAGCTTTATAGGTTATTGGATAACAATATTACCTACAGGTCAGTCATAGAGCACTTCGGTGCACTATGCATGTATAGTACATCTATAAATACAGAATAATTATTATTGTAAATAGCAAACACGACTTATTTTTTGTTCCATATGAAATTGGAAAATTATATTTAAATACATTTGCAGTTTTATGGGCATTTAATGACAAAAGTTCAGCATTTAGTTGAGGATTCGTGTCGCATAAGAGGTGTGGTCAGTGTGGGTGGACTTGAAGTGACTCGAATTATTTCTCCCATCGTCTTTTCTTGTCATTGTCTTAATTAATTTTATTAAACCTTGATATTCGTTAATCACAAATCTCTATCTACATGTAACTTTATTATTGTGAACTCGATTGTTTATCTCGTATTTCATCATTTCACTATTAAATAATTACAAAATATTCGGTCTTTAAATCTTGTTAATTCTTGAGCACAGATAACACTCGTGTAATTTATGAAGGATTAAAATTCAGTAAACGACGAAATTATTTCTATATTTGAAATCGTACCATCAATTATTGTAATTTCGTTTTAGACCGCGCCAGCGGGTAAACATTAGACAATCGCGTGTTTAGACTCACGTGTTAGCGTCATTTGCTGGACGACGTCGTGGGGTGAACATCAGCTCATGGGTAAGATGCTGAGTTTTACTAGAATTTAATTCCTATAATGTAATCATTGTAATTAAACGTTTCAGTGTAACTGTCATAACCAAATACTGATTGTGTTCTCTGTAGTCTTTTGATATTGTTATTCCATGGTGTTCATGTCATGTTGATTTTAACGGCCATCACTGGTACAGGTGTTGGTCGGTCGGCGTCTTCATTCTTCACTACAATAAACTATTTGAGCTTCACAGTCTTTACTCTAACCCACAAGACAGGCTCAAATAACTAATTAAGGAAGAGGGAAGGCTGCTGTAAAATCTGAACAAGCAGTAAAAAATTATGAAAAATCATTTTCTGTTATGCAAACAAGCTTATTTGAATATAAGTGTATGGACAGCACTTTCCAAACTAATGAATTCCTCGAACGCATTTATGTAAACTAACCGAATACGACTCCCAGCTAGCTTGCTGTTACTGGAAAGACGACATTAGGTGCCGCTATATATACATAGTTCATGCGCATGGTTTGAAGTTGACGAATACGCGTGGAATGAGCAAAACAATTTCAGAGAACAGCAGAAATAGTATTGAACTCATATACATGATTCCATTCAGCCCATATAAATCAACTTGAAACCAAGGTACCTCTCCCCTGCTGTAGCTCCACTCCTATATATAGCAGTCAACTGTACAATAATTTGGGAAATGATTACTGCAGACTGCAGTGCAAGCATAAATATATTTATTCACCACACATTGTTAAATTATATATAAATTATTTTCTCGCAAAATCAACATATAATAAAAAAGTATAACAATTTCAAACGGTTATATTTTTTTCACGCAAAATCAGCAAACTACTGAGAGCTCCACGTCGTCCATGCTTCGCACCAGAAGCAACAGATGACTCCGCATCACCTGAAGAGAATGAATGGTCAACCATTTTAACTGAGAAAGTACAAGGATGACTTATAAAATAGTTCCACTATTGTAATGCAAGCTTCGTACGGACTATTCATAAGTGATATGATGCCTCAATCTTTTCCCAGAATTTAGCACAGTTACAGTTTTTTTACAGTTCAAAGTTACAGTTTTTAGTGGATTCGCAATCAGGTGTAGAAGTTACAAAAGAAAATAATGTAATATTATCTCCATAGATAACATTTTTCACACATCAAGGAGAGGAAGATCGAACAATAAATTTGCTCGAGGACACAATTAAAAAATTAAGGTGGGAAGGCTGGCGCTGGCACTTAATTAATTGCTATTGCGAGCTGCATTGAGAGAAATGCATTGCTGCTCTATGGTACACAATCATTGCTAGGCACAATATGATTGTCAATTTACCTCGAGACTACCTTCAGTTGGAAATGATCTCAGTTGTGAAAACGGCCTTGTACCCACGACTCCAGTTTTCTAGTCCAAACATTGCGTAGTTGTAGTTCTTGTAGTGGAGGATAAGCTCCGACTTGTTACTCTTAAAAACTGTTCCGTTCGAAATTTCTTCACCACAGAATCTGACGTAATACAAAAAACAATGAATTTATAATTATAAGGTTACAAAACATATCTATCGTTATTCGAATTATTAAACAATGTAAATATAAATTTATAGAACTTCCAATGAGTATTTTCCCTTCGAAAGAAAGGAAATGAAATACAGTTGCATTTCTATTTAGCATTTAGTTAAAACTGATACAATAGATATGTACGGAATGACTCTAATAAAACTTTAAAAACCACCAGAGAATAATTACAGAATGTTTGAGCTTCATTATTTAAATACATAAATTTTGCATGAAAATTTCAAGTTTTTTTTTCAACTATCACGACGAAAACCGGTCTTACATGGCCCCCTCCTCCACGGAGACGTCAGAACGTATCTCCAAGGAGCTGTAACTGCAAGTCTTGTTGAAACGCGGCAAGATCTGGAAGTCTTCGAACTTGACCACTGCTCTCTGGCCTTCGGGAGCACGCATCACTTGCGTGTACTGTATACCTGTAACAAAATTCAATCTCATATATTTATTTACACTTTCGATTAGTGTATCCGGGATATGTTATACTATCACTATGATAATACTATGATAATTCCAGGTTTGAAGGGCTAGTCTTATGAAGAAATATTTGAATTAATGAAGCTTCCGAGTGTCGACGTCAGCGTGGCGTTATCGACGTCTGCGTGGCGACCTCATTGAAGAATACGATGAAACTAATGGTTTATACAATGCCACAGAATGATTCCTAGAATGTGAAACAAAAACCAACACCAAGGGCCACGGCTATAAGCTAAAAAAAATTGCGGTGCAACTCTTCATTGCGACATCACTTGCGACATGTGGAACAACGCCTCTGATGATGATATTGTTGGCGCTCCGAGTATGAACAGTTTGAACACGTTCATGAACAGACTAGACAAGCCTATGCAGGAGCATATGTTCAGTCGTGAAATGCTTAGTACCGTACGGAACCATTGAATGTCCAGTAAATATTTCAAACCACCGTCAGTTGAAATGATCTGGTCAAAACGCCAGTTATTAGATCTGTGAATAAGTCACGAAAAGTAAAAGAATCTGCCACAGGCCTATCCAGGCCTATTTCTTCAACGTCGACGATACGGCGAGTCTCTGATGTTGGCACTCATCATATTCGATTGTTCTGATCGTCTGACGGCTTTTCGCTATATTAGATAATCTCTGGTGGCAATTTTGAATTATCTATTATTCACAATACTTCGCATGGTTTTTAATGATTATCTGTTTATTTGCAAGTTTAAACCCCCAAACTTACGGTCTAGATTGATATTTGGACTGAAAGGAGTTACGTCCGACTCAACTAGTAATAATTGCAATGTTTCAAAATTGTCAGATAAGAATCAAGTAGCATCAGCAAGAACTGGATTCAAGATTTGCAAATACTTGTATGACTGATTTCGCGCATCATTCATTACCTCGGTGTTAATTTATTATATTTGAGGCTAAAATATTCAATTGCAGATTCTAGAATTGGCAGCCTTTTTATACATATCGTTTATGCCCGAAAATTTTAAATCAGATGTTAAAGTTCAATCTGCTACTTGGTTCAAATGTGATAGTGAAATATGATTTTGAAACAATTAAGGGCTATCTAACTATAGCTATTCCGAATTCACATGCTAGAGATCAAAATGGTTTGCTTAGTAGGAAAGCTACAGAGGAAAAATTTAGCAAACATTAATACATCTATAACTCATACCTTCCCGTGGACCTTTTGTAGGGTATCCAGGAGAGATGACTTCTCCTCCTGGAGGAATCAAGGCGCTATTTGGGGATATCTTCCCCACAATGGCATCTGCGTGGAAGCAAAACGTTAAAACCAAACAATACCAAAAACAAGGCAGTACAATTTTAGTTGCGTTCACTACTGTAATAAAACGATCAGGTTAAAGTGGCGTTTCATTCGATTTCAATAATAACTTATAACGCCACATTCCAGCCGTGTCACGCTCTATCATCTTCAAAAACAGACTAGACGAAGCTATGCAGGAGCATATGTTCAGTCTTAAAATGCGTAGCAAATTACGGACCAGGCAATAAGTCCAGCAGCTATCTCAATCAATCGTGAGCTGTGGAAAGATCGGGTTCCAAAGGCCGGATCCCTTGTGAATCAAGTCACGAAAAGTTCAAGAATCGGCAACAATAACACATGCCTCACCTATGCAGCCGTACATGGTGTTCACGAGCTTCATGTTCATGAAGGAAATTCCAGGAGCATTCCCCATGATTTCTTGGAAACGGGCGTCTTTAGCGAGAAACACGCGCTTATTGTCCTTTCCCCCAGCCTTCACAGACAATAATGGACAGAATATATATGATATTACTGTATGCGAGCGTAAAACATAGGTAATTTATGAATTTACGCACCATGAAAACTGTACTCAATGACCTCAAAGTTCACTATATACTTTCAATGAATGTTTCGAAAACCAGGTCCACGATCAGTGGAGAACAGGAGGAACAAATTTCATAGTGAAATCTATAATGGGATTAAAGCACAGGACACGAATGCATGAAAAAAAACGTTAAAACATGTTGAACTTATTCATGAAAATTTCAGACGTTAGCAACGGATGGTCTATAGTGACAAGCTTTTGGTGTCACGCAAGATTTTCGTCCTAAAATATTCGTGAATAGAAAAATTTCTCGAAATAAAGACACTGGAAGCAGATGCTGATATTTTTAGCATCTGCTACCCATGTATCTGAACAAATAATATAGAGCTGACAACCAGGTATGAGGTATCCATGAGAGCTGGTATCCAAATAAAATTATGGGGAATTGTTTTCGTGATTTTTTTTTACTATTTAGATGCCCTTGAACTACATCTTTAAAAATTAAGAAAGAACACGATGGTAAAAAGTCCACAGGTTATGCATTTGAAGGAGATAATTTTTCATCCGAATGTCGATACATTTTGTACGTTCTCATTTGTATCTGATACTGCGAGTATGTTTGGAGGAGTCGCATCAGCAACTGATAACTTCACTTACAAAAATGAGTGAGACATTGTCCAAATAATGATGCCCTTTTAGGCCCTTTTTTAGTTTTCCTGGCCCAGTTTGGTCCAAAAAAAGAGCACGTCAGTGCCACGACCACTTTCTGCTTGTGCTTTGGGTATAAAAGAACACCGTTATTTGCACAATGAACCATTCAGTTTCAGACTGTTTATTTTGTATTAAAAGTAGATATACATTTATGTACTCTTATGGCTCATTCTCTTATGTCTCACCCGATCCTGATAATGCATGACTGAATAGTAGTCGTAGGGAACCTCAAAGTTGACAGTATTGGATTTAATGAAATTATTTTCCAAGCCGGGTATGACGTTGCTCATGACCACGATGATGTTGTCGTCCCTGAAAATGTACAACATTTGTGCCGAGTCAATTACATAGATTCATTAAAGTTGAATATTATTGATTAATTTCTTTTCGCAGTGTATTATTTGCAGATTAATACATAGATTCGCGAATAGCTACAGAAATAGAAATGTGAATATAATGAACTGAAATGTACTGGCACTCGGGAGAACGTTTACGTCTCTTCATTAATATGGATACAAACGCTTCTAATGTAAGGTTGTGTTTTTTGTCACAACCGACGCTTATGTAATCCATACCAGACGTTCGACCACCTGTCCAGCCCAAGTACATACATAAGCAGAATAGTTCAATTGACTTGGGGATGAGTTCGTTAGTATCGTAACTGATAGTGATCAAAAGGGATAATGAGGCACAGTATTACAATTAAAGGAGTACTTATTTGAGCGGTCAAACAGATTGAAATACAAGTTGGAGTATGAGCTTTAAGGCTGGTAGTCAGAGTGTGGCGAAGTCTGATATCGAGGTATTCGCGACCACAATATAAAACCCTGGTTCTGTCCTCAGATCGGCAAGTCGCTACTCTCGAGCTCGTAGACTTCGTAACATGAGTTCTGGGCCAGCATGAAATTTGGGGCAACTGGTGGCTATCAGGTGGCTGAGGAAGGCCAGAGCTGGGCTAAAATTAATTGACTCGGGCCGACCGAAAGCCTATTTCCTCGCTTTTCGTTGAGAGTCCTAACCGCATGGGCCGTCGAGTTTTACAGCTCACTAATTTAGGACCTTTGCCTCCCCTGATACTTGCCACAGCACCTTCATCAGTGCCTGTTACTCTACGGCATTTATGCGCCACACACGGGCATGTTCGTTCATAACTAGTTTTTTGACATGTAATATCTACAACTAGGAGGCAGATCAAGAAATGTCGAGTATACTATTCTGTGGAGAATAAAAAGTATAACTCGAATGAATCTCGAAAAAAGTGTAGTAGTCGCAAAATTAATATACATTAATATTCAGAGTTTCTTAAAATTTCTTCGTCGTTACTGTTTGGCCTACACGAACCTGTCGCTGCGGGAGTGCTCGTGCTGTAGTCCCAACGAGTGGCCCAACTCGTGGATGACTCCCTGGAGCTGTTGATGATTAATTAATTATCAGACCATTTACTTCATACGACAACATAACACAGAAATTCATATTTTTGGAGGCGCATGATGTAAAAATTAAAATAATTAAAGGCATTTCTTTATTTAGTGCCTATTCTCAAAAATATAAACTAAAAAAGTACCTGGGCATCTATTGAAAATTTGCTTGCATTAGCACTACAAGGAGCTTACAGCTGTGACCTTGTCTTTTAAGCCATCGATTAAGTAGGTAACGTACACATCGGCTTCAAAACTTTATACAGCAAGTACATCACCCATATAATTTGTACTTACGTCGCAAGCATCGCCAAAAATGCTGACTGTTGTGACCTTGCCGCGTGTGTACCCCACGTCGGAGAAACAGCCGCTCTGTATCGTGATCTTCAGATACTCGGTGTCTGATGCAGTCATCTCTGGGAACTCTAAGCACGAATTAGCCTCCCAAGATGTGAACGCCAATTTCAGCAGAGTTACGTTCAAATTCGCTGTCAGGTATTTAAAAGGTATTAGATTTTATTTAATGCATTTTTTCGAAGACCTTTCAAGCTTTGAAGGACTCATTGTACGTTTTCACTCCATTATCTACTTGTGCAACACATGAAGATTAAATTGCGTTCAAAGGATCATGCAGGTGCAACTACGAACCATATTCAACAGCAAAATATTCCGCAACATATGAGAAAAACGTCGTGTTGTGCCTCTCATTATTAGCTGACGTACAAGCAAGAGTCCATGGCTCACAAATAAACTCCCTGAATTGTTGATGATATCAATTGGACATCGAATAAATTTTTACTTACTAGAAATGGAACGAAAATTTTCACAGCAGTCTGCTCCGCAAGTATTATCTACTTATTGAATACAAATTAACTTACGATCTGATATCTTGTAGGGAATTTTGACAACTCCGTTCACTTTCGGCCAAAGTTTGGCTATGGAATCCAAGTTTTTAGCAAGCAAACTTTGCCACTGGTCCGCGGAGTACAGCATGTCGCCGACCAACACCGACCCGTCCGCTCGGGTGGCCACGTCCTGGTGGGATCAGACATTTAATTCACTGGTTTGTACTGAAGAGATGTTAGCAGGCCATTAAAACATCTACACAAATAAGAACAATTCAATACTAGGGGCATTTTATTGCAAAACAACTTATGTACGGCTGGATTTGAGAAAGACAAACCAATAAATATTTAAAATAATTTGTCCACGCTCATTACTCATAACTTTTATATAGGCAGGCTCAACAGTCTATTAAAGATTTATGCATTGCGCTGTAAAATAAATATTACATATGTTTCATGCTTTTAATTTGCGGCCGAAAACACACTGAATGCGATTTCATACAAAGGAGAATTTTTTCTTGCAGTTGAATGATTGAAATAAATGTTTTTTCATCTTATAAGAAAGTAAACTTTGGATTCTGAATCTAGGATAAATCGCATTTACTGAAAGATGATGACTTAAATCAGAGGACATCGTCTTAAAAACAAGCATCTATGTATTGCGTTCTCACTAGAATTTATTAGACAACCTGCACGATGTACAGATATAAGAAAAAGTCTGGCACGAAGAGAATTGAAGCATCAAATATATACAACCATAGGCTCTAAATCTTCCTTAAAAGTTTATTCATACAAACATCATGATTCCCCGGGTACCATTCATTTTCATTATTATTAATCGAATACAACATCATATTCGTACGGCTGTGTAGGTGAACGCCTAAAATTGAAGCGTTGTGTACCATATAAGCAAGTATTTTCTAGCTGTTACAAAAACAATTTTAAAAATGGCTTAAATCCTGAGAAACAAAAATGTATTTCGGAAATATTATAATGAATAAACTGTACCATTGGCGCGGAGATGGTTTCCACAACGGCGTAGCATAAGCACAGCGCCAGGAGCGTCTGATGGGCCTTCCCTCTTGCCATTTTGAACGTCATCCGAGTATCTGTAATGAATGAAAACATGTCAAAAGTCGTTATATTTTTTTTGTAACATCTACAAGGGAAGCCTGTATAGAATACAAGCGACAAGAGCGACAAGTGATGTAAAGAATATTTCCTCAATTTACTTGGAACGCGTGCTTAACTGGGTTAAGAGTTAATTTGAAATTATATAGTCAAGAGATTCTTCATTATTAATGTTTTTCAGACCTGCAGTTCAAAAATCATGAATACGAGTAATCAATCGAACGAACAAATTTCATGAATAATATCCAGTTAATTAGTTATCCAATTGATTACGTCTCAATTGTCCTAAAATTATTTGTCATTTTCTTTGCTCTCAAATCATTAAGTCAAACTTACGTTCGCATTCAAACGCAAAAGCCACATTCTCGTATAAGGTTCTTTAAATTTTATAAGCCACATGAACTGATCATCGAACGTTTCTGATATTCCTAGTAGAAATTCATTACAATTTAATGCCATTATTTTATTTAGAAATTTATTTTTATTTAGAAATTTTGTTAGATTATTCATCATTTAATTTATTTATTCGCACGATTGCATTCAAATATGTGTATCAATATTGAATCACAATATGCAGTCTAACTGGGCAAAGAAATGGACAAACGAACTTGGATCTCACAACTCACCTTGACTGGCAGATAGAAGTCTTGTTCTGAGGGCTAGCTCGTTGCCTGCTCTCCGTATATACGATATTGGAAGGCGGGATGGGAACGGAAGGGGACTGGAGGGGGGACTAAGAGAGGAGGATGTGGGAGAGGAATGTGAGGGGAAATATGAGACGAGTCAGGATGATGGGGAAAGGCGAATTAATAAAGGGAAAATAAAATAGTGAAGAAAAATGAAAAATTAACGGAAAGCCTGTAGGAATGAGGCTATTAGCATCAATGGAGCGGTTGCTAGACAAGTACAAAATTCTATCGGATTATAATATTTCATCATCAGAGCCGTTTGATGAAAATTGTTATTTTAACTTTATTCATTCGAAAAATTTATAAATGTATAATTAATAATTATTGTTGCTATTATTATTATCGACATTATATAATATTAATAATAGAAACCATTGGTTTCTTATGGGTGACAAGGGGTATTACTTACGAAATATATAACTCAAAATTTGGCCTTTTTTATAAAATAATCAAAATCATCCGCCAATTAACGAGATATGAACAAATTTTAGTCATTTCGGGCATTTCTATGTTTGTGTCTTCTGCACTTTTTGGTCATTAGATTATAATATGTGATAACTTCAATAAAACCAATTCAATGTACGGTAAAAAAAATTGCTTTAAAAAATTCAGTAAAATATCAAAAATTAGCTTCTCAGAAACTTTATATTCTATTTCAGGCATATAATAATGTCTTCAATCTTATTGTGAGAAATTATTTTCAGTTATAATTAAAATATAAAAATGGAAATACTTTTAGCCTCAATTTTCGATGGGTCGCATCCCAAATTACGTTGGAACTATCACTTTCAAATTTATTTAAAATAGACGAATAACACTTTCTCATTCTGATGTTCGGTCTTCTTCTTAGCACTAAACACATTTATTACAAGGCTATATTTTACATCGAAGCCATGTTTTCACATTGAGCACGAGTAGGGAGCTGCTCGGGAGGCCCGACGCGACACCACTTGTCAAGTTGACTACAAATAACCAGGTTTTCGTACCATGGATATGGCTTTGATCGTCGTTGGAAACCATTGATCACTTATACACTTTTGTTATGTGCAAAGTCCTCAAAAAAAACACAATTTTTCACTATACCGTCCGCATGGTGGATGCATGTATTGCAATTGTTAGCGCGGTGCGTTTTAGTCTTATGTTGGCTAAGGTGCATGTCGACTGAAGTTTGAACTGAGCAATGAATAATTTTTAAGTAGATAGTCTTCCGTAGATGGTTCTCCATGATTATAATTTTTTAGAAGAAATTGGTAATTATCGCGGAAAAGATCAGCACCCACTTTTCGCATGAACGATCATTTCTTTTTAGCTCATCATACCAAAACATTCGAAAATCCATAATATTTCCATGACAGTCGTGATATCACAGAAAAAAAACGATATAATTTATATTTCGTTTTGACATTCATTTCGTTCAGAAATTTTGTCGACACAAAATGAGCGGATAGCGAACGGTGCATGTTTTCTCCGTCCAATAATCTAGAACGCAGTCAGCATCGGAACTTTAATACAGTTACAGGTACTCTGAGCATCAATCGTCCCGAACAAGCGCCATGAGTATGGGCTACAAAAAAGTTATTTACATCTAAACAAGCCCTGCATTTATCTTGACATTGACCACTTCGTTGAATTAGCAATATAACTTATTCGAAAATTTTAAAGCTCTCATATTTCTTGTGTTATTTTATTAGATATGCGTCCTCCTTGTGCAGGTGAATTTTCATGCGTTAAGTAGAAAAAGTATAGATATCCATTTATTCAATTTATTTTGAGCGTGACAAGTGTCTGGAAGATGAAAAAGAAACAAGGTTACAATGAATTTTATAGCCAGTACACAAATAAAGAGTACCGGCAAAACTAAGCCTCATGTAACTGGACTGACTCATTATTTTTACATAAATGAAGCCATCATGAGTGACCTGCAATCTGAGTCTCAAAATTATTCCATCAGTTGCGGTTAACATGCTTAACACTTTTTACTTCGACGACAGTGTGCAACACATTCAATTTCCTACTCAATAAGACCAATGACAGTAAAACAACGTTGATCAAATTATGCTACCGCCAGCTGATTAACTTTCCTTACAAAAATAATTTCCAATTGTTAATAGGTATTAATTATCTGATTTAAACTGAAACAAATTATTACGTTGAGCCGCAGGCTTCCTCGCAATATAAATTTTTCAACTTTATATAATTGGAATTTCGGCCCATTTATTCTTGTGAAAAATGCGAATTTTTTTCACATTTTTAACCGAAATTTCATGAGATAAATTTATCGAAGGAAAGAGAAAATTTCAATCATACGAAAATTTGATGATAATTTCATTAAGTACATTTTAGTTGTCAGACACCCCCGAATTGCTGAAAATTTGTTAAAAAAGATATAAACACTTCTTTGTTCAGAAAAAAGCCCGAAATTTTCGTCATACAAAATATAATTTCGTGAAGAAATTTTTCACCGATGAACAGTTTGAATGAGAGAATTTGATTGAATTCTCTTCCAACCAAAATTTAATGAATGAGATAGATTTAAACAAAAATCAGTAAAGTAAAATGTATTATTGTACAGATTTGATCAGTAATTCAACTTCTGCGAGAAGGTGAAGGTTTCGAATATATTATTTATTCATAAATGATTAAAATTTAGAGCACTAAATTACTGAAAATTATTATCATTTAGAGCAGTAAATTATTACTGCTCTAACACAGCAGTAGCATCGTATCCGTGACCGGCGAATTTTGTTCTTTGTCCTCGGTATTCTTGATACAAGTGATGCGCCAGACGGCGAGTTGTCACAGGTGCGGCGTCCAGAACAGAATGCCATTTCTTATTGGCTGAAAATTATTACAGCTTTATACGACAAACCCTGCTAGTTGGTCGACCATTGATTCAGAGGCTGACTCATCGCTAGAAAAATAGCTGAAAAATCACGAACCAAAAACCTGGGATGTGAGACCCAGAAGATAGGAACATTTATTCTCTAAGGGATACTCGATGTGAAGTTCAGGAGAAAAGCTTTCTTCCGCTACAAAAAAAAAATCGTTCTCGAAATTAAGGTGAAAATAAAATTCGGCAAATTATCTTTAATTGTGAAAATGTTGAAAAGCCAATGTACATGTATGGTGGTCTACGGTTGCAACTATGATTTGTTCGAACAAGCAATTGACGTGATTGATTGCTTATTGTTTAAACTTTTTTTTCGTTGAAATATTGAATAATCACTATTTGGGGGTTACTAAAGGGCGAAAGGAGTTTTCTCAAAATATTCTGGAAAACACCTTTTCATATGAATTATTCCGAAATATCACTTTCGAAAAGAGACATAAATATTTTGTTAGCATATGTACGTACTTAGCCATCTCTACATGTATAGGGAGCAGCGAGCCCACTGCGGGTCATGGGCCCATAGCGGGTTTCTCGCTAAGTATGGCAGATATTGGTCCGTGTTCTCTACCGCCGGTCGACAGTTTCAATGGGATTAAGTGTACGGATTTACGTTTTGCTAAGTGTTTGCGTTATTAAGTTATTTGTGAATAACTGTTTTAGCCCAGATAAAAGTTTTTTTTTCCGCTAAATAAAACTGTTTTCGATTACTGTAGATGAAGCTTTTGAAATTACTGTGAATTATATTTTGAAAGTAATATTTATAGGGATAATTTTGAGATCAAGTTTAGACTATTAGCTTTTAAAATGAAATGTTGACACGATAAAATTTAAATGATACCAAGTGGGGCAACGGACCCACGCGTTTCACGGGGCAATGCGCCCATGGTGAAGTCTTGTGTTATACATAATTAGATTTGTCTCAATGACCTTTTCAAAGCTATGAATAGCTTTTTGAATTAAAAAATACCATTCATATTGCATGATTTTTTTTATTTGCCGCCTCAAGGCAGCAGGTTTAGTTTCTAGTTATACGTATTTATGACCTCTTATCGAGTTATTGACTCTTGCCTTGCCAAAAGTTGATTTCAGTCAACACCAATGAGCCAAAAGTTGATGAGTTTTTATGGTGTTAGCTGAAATTACGATTAGGTACGAATTCTCTGCACATAATATCTGGATTATGGACGAAACTGGAGCGAAGTTTTTCTGATCAACTAAATATATTTTTTTCTAGTCAAGGATACATTTTTTCATGTCAAGGACGAATTTTTTATCGCAAGGATATATTTTTCAAGTCAAGGATATATATTTTTATGTCAATGAAATATTTTTCTTCACGTCAGTGATAGATTTTTTAGGCCAAGAGTATATTTTTTTCAAGTTAAGGATATGATTTTTTGATTTGTTAATGAATGAATGTCATATTTTTTATTAAATTTTTCTTATTTTTAACTGTAAAGTCTTGTTTTATCATTTTTAAACGAAAAATATACAATTGTGGTAAAGGGACCAAGGGTGAGCGCCTTGCCCCAAGCCCATGGGCCCATTGCCCCAGAGGTGGGGAAATGGGCCCATTTTGACACTTTCTACAAAATTGTGTTTCATTCAAAATTTAATAACTCTATAGACGTCTAATTCACATCATAAATTCCTCATTAATTGCTTGTACCTTTAAACAAAACAAAGAACCACCTCGTATCAATTAAAACTTCATCAAAAATTTAGTTAAAAAAAGGGGGGGCTCGATGCCCCATGTTGCCCTATCTTGTATAGTCACTGAGTGAACAATTTCCTGATATTAATTTTTAGTATTAAAAGTATTAATTTAGCATAAATTTTTTATTAAACATTTTAGTATCTCCTTCCATTGTCTTTAATTCGATAAATTTTTTATCTCTGAATATTTTAGGACGAAAATCTGTTAAGTGACGCCTCATGCATGCTTTTCACTAACCTATCTGTTTTAATGCCTGAAAATTTCATGGATAAATTCACCGTTTTTACGAGCTATTGTGTCCTATGCTTTATGCCCCATGTTGCCCTATCTTGTATCGTCACTGAGTGAGCAATTTCATGATATTAATTTTTAGCATTAAAATTATTAATTTAGCATAA